TTTCTTCACTTGACCTCCATATCCAGTCAATTCAAGCCAGGTGGTCTTCTTTCTGTCTGACATTTCTTTAAACTGTCTATTTTTCTCTGTTTCCATCACTACTACACAGTCAAGTCACCATAATGTCATTTGGATTATTGTAACAGATACTTTATTGGTTTCTGCCTTCTCTATTGGCTATTTACTGTAATCACCCAGCACTTAAAATGACCCACTCCAGAATAATTAAATTATGATGGAGAGGAGAGCTATTGCAATACTTGGTTTTAATTTCTAGGAAAACCTCATTAATTTTTTGACTACTGGGCATTTACATATGATGTTCTTTGCATTTGGAATGTTGATTTCCCTCTTCAGCCTTTTCACACAGAGATATTCTTCCCATTTTTCCTTCATGTTTCAGGTGAGACCTCAGGAAAACTCCTGCCACCTCAGAAGCACTGCCCGAGAAGTTTCTGTGATAATGGGAAATGTTCTGAATCATCTGCACTGATCCATGTACTAGCCATTAGCTATGCAGTACTTAAACTGTGACTGATGTGACTGAGACATTGAATTTTAAATTGTATTTAATTTTGGCTATAGATGTTTGGTACCTTAACTTGTGTCCTCATAGAACCCTGTGTGTGTTTCCCCCATCATAACACTGATTTTATTATATATTTTCCCAACATTTTATTACTAAACATTTTGCAAGCTGAAAGAATTTTATAGTATATACTCCTGTATTCATTACCTAGATTCTACCATTAATATAATTACTATAATAGACTTTAACACATATCCATCTGGGTATTTCTGTATCCATCCATTATTCTTTCTAAAAAACTACATTTACAAATGACATCAGTACACATGTCCCTAATTACTTTAACATACATATCATAAACAGCTGTTTTGGGTGTAAAATTTATATACATAATAAAATGTCCTTTTTTTTTTTAGTTAATCCTCACCCAAGGATCTTTTTTTCCATTGATTTTTAGAGAGAGTGGAAGGGAGGCAGGAAGGGGGAGAGACTCAAAGAGGGACAGAGAGAGAGAGAGAGTAAGAGAAACATCAGTGTAAGAGAGGCACATTGATTCCCAGTCAAGGGCACATACCTGGACTGCAGGGAGGCCACCCATACCTTGACTGGGAATCAAACTCATGACCCTTTGGTGTGCGGGGCTGATGCACTAACTTCTCAGCAACACTTGCTAGGGCAATGTCCATATTTTAAGTTACATTTGCTGAATTTTGATAACTACATATACCTGTGTAACACAAACCTCTATCAAGATCAGAACATTATCGAACCCCCAGAAATTTCTCTCTGCCCCTTCCCAGTCTATCCTTTCTTCCACTTTCCCAAGTGGTTACTGCTCTGATTTTTCCCCCCTACAATGTCCCTTTAGCATCATAGCTTTCATCCTGTTCATTGTAAAAGAGAGATACTCTGGCTACTGAGTTTTCATATGCACCCTTCTACACACATTTCGACTCCACTACAATAAAACGACTGTATTTCCTACCTAGCAAGACACAACTATTCTTATAAGTGAAGAAATTCCCACCTGTACCCCAATTGAAAAGACACAATATATCGCCTTGCTTGACTTAGGAATTTGTACTACAAGTGACTCAAGTTTTTCATCATTCTGCAAATGCACATGTCCGTGAATGACTGCCAAGGTGCCCCAAGTATTAATTTTGGGGTTATAATTGAATTTTAGGGGGTTACAAATTAATGTTATTATTGGGCACATTCACAAGTACAGAACTGTGAATTGTGAGGATTGACTGTATTTGCAAATACATACGTGTACAACAAGCAAAGAGAAAATATACAAAACTGCTGCAGTCTTTGTGTCTGGTAATGAGGTTGTTGATATGAATAGCTTTCTTTTTCACTGCTGTTCCATACTTCTGCTCTCAGCTACTCTGGCTTCTTTACTTGATGGTGTGACCATCAGGAAAACTTTTATCCTGAAAGATCATAGTGCTTAGTTGTTCCGTTTTCTGTAGTTTTCTTTAACCTTTGGTATTAGAAGTACTTAAGACCCTAGAGAACCCTCTGGATAACCACCACTGTGTAGCGGCAAGAAAGGTCTTTAGTAATTGACATTAAAATTTTTTTTTTCCTGTTGGTTTTAGTGCCATAATGGGCACCAAATGGCAAGGTGGTATTCTAATTTTCCAATCATTGGAACCATTGTATATCCTCTGGTGGAAGCATTTACCCTTTGGGGAATAAGAACTCCAAAGCATCAGAGCTCATGTTGCCAGGACTGGAAGCAAACATTTTACGAGTGGATTATTAGGAGTAATAATAAAAGGAGCCACCCCCACTTCTCCTTCTTGATTCCTGTATTATGGCTATGGGGGAGATAGCACCATCTGATGGTCTGTCACTGAAAGTGTAACCTGTAGCCTTCAACATAGTTTTTTAGGTTTCTCTCTCCCAACTAGTGCTGCCATTCCTCTTTCAAAAGGGCATGCTGCTTCTGGGTGAAGGAGTATGTTGTAAGACCAATTATATGGGCATGAGCAAATTGCTGTACTTTCTTTGCTGGGAAATGAGTAAATGTGTTTATTGATTAGATACAAAGCTATATGGAATGCCATGATGATGAGTCTATCAATGGTGGTGCTGGCAGAAGTGTTACAGGAAAATCCATATGCTGAATATGTGAAGGTGATCCATATGGAAGAGAGCCAGTATAATCAATCTGCTACCAGGTGGCTAGCTTGTCCCCCGACCTTCACCCCTATGGTGCTGTATTGAAAACTCAAGTTTGTTCTTTAGTGTTGTCAGATTAGGTATTCAGTCAGCCAGATTAGCTTTGGTAAAGAGTAGCTGTGTTTTTTGAGTCCATTCATATCCTCTATCCCTGCTGCCATGGCCACTTTGTTCATGGGTCTGTTGCATAGGCACCGGTATCATGGGGAAGGAAGTTGACTGATATCCACAAAGAAAATAATTTTATACCTGATGGTTAAGATTCTCCTCTGTAGTTGATGCATTTATAGTTGTGCTCACCTGGTCTGTGGTGGTGAAGTGGTGCTACTTAAGCTTCAGCTACTCCAGGATCCCATCATCCCCATTGAAATCAGAAAGCCAATCTCAATGGTGGCATCCCCTATACTCATATCTGTCCTACAAAAGAGAGTGACCACAGAGCTTTGAAAAGGTTGCAGGTGGTATACTAATATATTTCTGAACACATTAGTAAATGGAGTGTCTGCTGGGCCCTGTTTGGAACATAAGTGGGAGGTTGGTGTGTAAATGATAAATCCAGTCTAATTTTCCTATCTCATAAAAGTTTAGAATCCCTCCTTATTGTGCTAGGAAACTCTCTGGAATCTTAGTTTTATTAAAACATAGGTCATTGTTGGGTCCAATTTGAGTCAGCCAATCAAGTAAGTTTTAGAGCTACCTTCATCTGCGTGAGCTAATGCAATTAAGTTTGTGATTTCCAGTATAGCAGTCAGCAAATCTTTTCTGTAAATATTCTGGTTTTTATGGGCCGTATGGTTTTTGTCAAAATTCCTCAACTTTGCCATTATAGCATGAAAGCCATAGAAAATGTGGGATGAAAGGGCATGGCTGTGTTCCAGTAAAATTTTATTTACAGTAACAGTTTGCTGACCTCTGCTATAGTATGTGGGCACATATCAGTGAATTAGACCAGATATCGTGTTATATTTCACCCTGCGTGGTCTAACACCTTTAGAATCCACTTCCACACATGTTTATCATGAAAGTTTTACAGTTCTTTTGCTGTATAATGTATTTCCTTTGGTCATAGTATACCTGTTTAGTGACACTGGGAGTGGTGATGGTAGGCTTTAATGAGAATGGACATCCCCTTTCATGGTATTTGTCCTAGGTGAGGTTATGCTAGGAATTTTAAGCCATGGAAGACTAGTCTTCTCTGATATGGGAGGGCGAGCTACTTCTGGTAAGGGAGGCTCAGAAGGGGCTTAAGTTGGTTAGTTTCATCTGGGTCAAACTAAATGTCTTCATTATAAGTTTTAGAATTCCATTGTTTACTAATGCATGCCCTAAATTTCAGAGGAGAAACTGGGTGATACTGTGAATTCAACTATTGTTTTAATTTAACAACCCTCAAAAGTAAACTTTTTTATTTTCAGCTGAGTTAGCTGTGTGGCTTCAAAAAATAAGAGATTGTTTTAGAGCTGCTATGGCGCTCTTAGAGAATTGAGCTGAGAGTTAGACCTGAGCTTGTTTTTCCCCCCTAAGTGATCTAGTGTACTCAGAAGAATCTCCCCCACATCACAATTCTTTATGGTCTAGAGCAGCAGCCATTTGGGTTTTCAAGGCATGTGCCTCAGTTGGCACTTGCTCGCTGCAAACCACAGTGATATCTTGGTTAATTTTTATTCCAAGACCTGCAATGGATTGCTAATAATGTTTTTCATTGTCAAGGAGATCAGGACTGCACTTACGAGTAAGCTCAGAGCATGACCAAACCAATTGTCAAATTCCATCTTTGTGAGTCTGTCTCCTGGGACCATTCCCATTACCAATGTGTATAAGTCTGTGTTGTCTCGGGGGACAGAAACCACATAGTAATTTAAAAGGCAAGTTTAATATAAAGAAATGCTAAGTTGTGAAAGGAGAGTAACTATAAATATGTAAGGGGAACTCTAAAGGATATTCTTACAATTGGCTGGGATTCAGACCTCATCGAAGAAAATATAGCTGCAACCTGAGTTTGCTGGTAGAAAAGTTTGCTGAGTTGCTGGGGCAAGAGCTGGTCCACAGTATCTAGGCAAGCAGGAAACAACCTTCTCAAGTATACTAGTAGGTGAGCCCAGGCTGGTTAGCTGTATGCAGGGGAGTCAGGGTGCTGTTGTGGGTATGAAGCCTCGAGTGCATGGTGTCCTTGTAGGGAGGTGGTGTCCGGCCAAGGCTGCCAGATTGCTGAGGGACTGGATCCCTGGGCATATAGCCATATGACAGTGTACCACTGGATGTCCTTCCCATGCGTACCATGAAGCAGGAGCCAGAAAAAAGTAAAGGCAGTAAGGGGAACCAGAAGGTGTCCTTCTTGCAGTGCCCCTTCAGTGCCATTTTCTAACAAAGTGTAACATTGTGCTGTATAAAGAAATGCTTAAAAAATCAATTTTTTTACAGCCAAGTACTAAAAGATGAATTCAAAGCAGAGAGGCAGCACATTAATAATTGGCTTGGCCAGGCAGATCATATTATTCTACTCACAATTCCTCAGTAGCTCCCTGTTTTACCCAGAGTGAAACCAAAGCCAGACATAGCCCCTCTACTTTGACTTCATGTTATACTCTGTTCTTCCCTGTTGGCTCTGTGGTAGCCATTCTGGCCTTCCTGCTGTTTCTGGCACATGACCTGGTTCTTCTTGAAAAGCTCTTTTCCTAGATACTTGCATGTTGACTTCCTCACTTCCTTCAATTAGATCTTTGCTCAGATGTCAGCTTCTCAATGAAGCACACCATTCACCACCTTACTTAAAACTGGAAGCCCAGCACTGCTGACCCCATCACACAGTTCTGCTTTCTCCATAGTACTTTTCCCTAACGTGCTATGTAATTTACCTATTTCTTACGTCTGTTTCCTCCTTTAATGCCAGGCACTGTGACTGGTGTAGGTTTTTGTTTGCTTTGCACTTATCCCAAATACTTAGAATAGTGCCTGGTAAATTGTAGGTGCTCACCAAGTACTTGAATATTATTGTGGCCTTGATAATATTCATTAAAGTGAGAGTAGTTTAAGAAAGCAGTTCTAATTTTGTTGTTCAACATAGTTTTACTACTACTGTGTTGTATAGTTTCCCTTATATTTTGTAGACTGGTTACATTCTTTTCATTGACTAGGTTAATATGGTATATTTTTGGGTTGCTTATACTCTATAAAATGAAGCATGCTTGTGCCTTATTGTTACTTTTTCTAGGCCACTTTTCAGCTCCTTTTACTTTTCTCATCTGATAAATTTCTGAGACAGATAATTATAGCGTTAACATTTTATTCTTTAGATTTAAATCTTGGTCCATGGACAATTAACTTATTTTTTAATTTGTTTTTAGGTGCTGAATGTGGAGTGAATGCAGATGTTGAGAAACATCTTGAATTGGGGAAGAAATTGCTTGCTGCTGGACAGCTAGCTGATGCGTTATCACAGTTTCATGCTGCAGTAGGTTTGTATCTTGGAAGTAAAATACTTAGTGGCCATCTTAGTAAATTTTAATTAATAGCTATTCTTTAGAATAACATTTAAATTAAACATTATTTAATGCTTAAATACAACATTTAAAAATATTTGCAGGATTCTCAGTGAAATAGATTAGTAAAATAAGTGCATAATACTTGAATGCATGTGTATTTAGCATGAGAGAACGTTCCAGGTAGGAACTGAGATTTGCTACTATAAATACCAAGAATAATTCAAGATAATTTTGACAGAAAACCTTTTTCAATGCATTACGTAATTTTCTGCCTCTTAAAAGATTTTACTAAATACATTTTAATTTTCTTGATGACTTGAGATGATCTAGTAGTTACTTTTCTGGTAACTATTAGAACTGTCTTAAGTGCTGCAGCATGGTAATTAAAAAATACTCAGTTATTGTCTTAGATAAAGCATGTCTTAAAAATACTGATTCTTCCTACAACCACAGAAAGTTATGCTTTCTACCTATTTTATACTTTATGATTTGCATTCTTTTTTATTTTTTTAATCCTCACCTGAGGATATTTTTCCATTGGTTTTTAGAGAGAGTGGAAGAGAGAGGGAAAGACAGAGAAATATTGATGAGAGAGAAACATATTGATTGGTTGCCGTCTGCATGCACCCTGACCAGGGCCTGGGCCGGGGAGGAGCCTGTAACTGAGGTATGTGCCCCTGACTAGAATCAAACCCAGGATCCTTTGGTCTTCAGGCTGATGTTTTATCCACTGAGCCAAACAGGCTAGGGCTATTATTTGCATTCTTTAATCCCACAATTAATGGAAACATTATGGGCCTTGGTCTGTTGTTAAAATAATTTAAAATGGCTCCCTAGTTTTCTTTAGCATCACTGCCATTCAAGAATCCTTGAGCTGGCTCTTCCCAAAATACCCAATAAAATATTATTGTCTACACTGAAAGATGTAAACTTGTAAAGCTAAAGTAATTTTTTTGTGAAATTCAGTAAAGAGAAAAAGTGAAACACTGGTTGCATCCAGAATTCGAATAGCTATGTCACTTGGTTCATAATTTGGTGAGTAGCAATGATTTTCAAATGGTACAAATATCATAATTTCTGAGGAAGACCTGTGTGATTTGAGACATTCATCATTTTAGTTTATGTAAAACACTTGTTCATAACTAACTATAGAAAATAAAGGTTAAATTATACATGATGACAATATATAGCAGATAGTGATGGGGTGATGTGGTGTCATGGCCTACTGAATCTCTTAGGAGATATGTGTTTATCAGAAAAGAAGTGTAGATCCTCTTGGCAGTTGTCTCATTTACCAAACATAACATTTAGTATGGCCACATTGGCTGCTTCAGGTAACCTAGTGATTTGGTGAGAGCCTTTAGCTAACAGTGAATTGTTCTAGAGTACTAACAAGTTATGCACAAGTCATTGCTGCAGATCATAGGGCTGTGCTACTTCAAAATGAATGCTAACCTTTTGTGTTAAAATGTCATCTATGTGCTAATACATTGCTTTAAACTAATTATATAAAAAGTTTGTTAAATGTTTATTTATTCATAAAAGTGTTTATACCTCCCAACTTCTAAATTTTGTAATGTACTTTATTTCTTTAACTTCAGCTTTGATTAGAAATTGATGTTACTTTTTTTTTTTATTAAGGTATTACATATGTGTCCTTATCCCCTCTTTCCCCCTCACCGTTCATGCCCTCACCCCCCTGGCGTCTGTGTCCATTGGTTAGGCTTATATGCATGCATATAAGTCCTTTGGTTGATCTCTCCCCCTTACCCCCACCCTCCCCTACCTTACCTCTGAGGTTTGAGCATCTGATCGATGCTTCTCTGTCTCTGGATCTGTTTTTGTTCATCAGTTTATATTGTTCATTATAATCCACAAATGAGTGAGATCATGTTATATTTATCTTTCTCTGATGGGCTTATTTCGCTTAGCATAATGCTCTCCAGTT